TTCAAAAGAATAAATCTGACGTCAAGTGCGGAGAACACAATACCTATGGACTTATTAAAAGGGTGTATAGCGCATGCACTTTGATCAAAAATCGGTCTTTTTGGGCCATTTTGGTGGGCTATAGCAGATGGATTATGTCCATGTTTTATTATTACAGCGTATAAGAGATTTTGAAAATGCAAGACCAAGACTAGTGTAATGCGATGATAAGTTTTATTTCTGCGTTACGACACCACGTAAAACACTCGACCAACCCGTGTTGCAGGGCGGCAAAGAAAGAAAATCACACACAAACAAATACAACACAACTAATTACAAATAAAATTCAAGTCCGTGTGAGTTCATACTGATTCACCTCCATTGAGAAGTCCGGGGGGTAAGAACGTTGTCATGGAAGGACTAACAAGCCCACCATTGTCCCCCCCTGACTGTGGAGGAGCGCGTTCAGGTGGGTTCCCTCCAAAGGACCACATACTGGGACCTTGTGAAGATGGGAACCCAGTGTTGCTACCKGGAAGAGGTGTTCCCCACAGCTGGGAAGGGTTGGGCGTTGGCCCGGTGTTACCCCAATTCATGCTTCCAGGGGGTACCACCGTGGAGGGTGGAACTTGGGGCGGTTTGTTATCCTGGTTGAGAACTGCGTTTGGTCTGTTTTGACTTGCTTCCCCCTGTCCCATARGGAATGTTCCCCAGTGGTTTCCGTAATTAGAGTTAGGAGGAAGTGGATTTGARCTCCAGTCTACAGGCTGTTCAAAGAAAGCCGCTATGTCRCTGTCGGTAGCGAAGTCTGCTGATAGTTGACCTCCTTGGACGTTCATGCCGTTWAGAAGASTACGCATCGTGGCTGCTTGGTCTTTACTGCCGTATCGAATCAAACTATTACCGTACCGCATGTTATACTGGAAGATCAGTAACTGGCCGTGTTGTTGACAGACATTACGAATTGCATTGATGTCAGCCTATAAAACAATAGTATTTACGTTAGAATAGATCAAAAAAGCACAGCCGTTTTGTTTTATTCTCAGATGAAACTTCACAGGCAAGGGGTCTAGCTACTTATAAACAGTTCAGTGAACCTTGTTAATGCGGCCACTGAAGGGAAACAGAGGCCGTATAAACCGGGTGTGTGTTTTAACTGGGTAAAAAAGTATGGTAGTTTAATTCTCCGAGACCTAGAAATTTGGTCGTTATGACGGAGTGACCGTATTAAGGGGGTTTGAACGGATCTACTATTCAAGGGGGATAAAATCGTTATCATCAGTGACTCAATGTTATTTTGCTTCCAGTGTCTCCACAGTAAATCCTGGTTTTCACAACGACTTAAACCTACTGTAAGCCCAATGCTAAGCTCAAGTGCACAGGTCTCATAAACACCGTGGAAAACGACCCAACACAAACCCAAACTTAAACGCAAACCGAAACACAAGGATTGCGCTTACGTTTTGGACCCTAGTCTTGTAAGCCCATTGTCATATTTCGCCATATTGGCCGCTAAACACAATGTAAAAGCTGGCACTAGGATTTGTTTCTTGGCTGTGCGTTCTTCCGCTTGTGTTTCGTTTTCACACGACATTTGTTTTTATGTTTGCGTCTAGACTTGCGCTTAGCATTGGGCTTAGGTTTAAAGGGACACTGTCAATGGATGACATGCGCAGTAAGTCTCGCCTGTAACGGACTTTGAAAGTATTACCTTCGAGGTAAATCATTTTGTGGTGCTTTTCACACACTTTGGAATATTCTAGATCTGTTTACGTTTACGAGCTGATTTATGTCGCGCCAACTTGGAGTCATAAACTTGAAAACATTAGCCTAATGTTTTCAAGTTTACTCGCGCATGCGTAACACTGACAGTGTCCCTTTAAGTTGTAGTGAAAACCAGGCTTTAGCAATGTTTAAAACAAGGTTTTCACAATACTTACATTGGGAGGAATATTGCGCAACACGAGCCACGTTGATAGTGATGCAGATGCTGATTTGCTAGGATCGTTGCCTAACAACGGCCGTTTATGCGAAAGCTTTTCTTCTGCGCTTGGGATTGGTTGATTGGCTGACCACGAGCTAATACCAGTATTTGTAGCCTTTGTTACGTCAGTGGTGGGAGTTGCATTGATAGTTCCACTAGCTTGACCAACACTGCTTGCCATAGGAATGACTGAGGGGGGTGTAGTGCTAGACGATGGYCCCCCTGGTGCTGCCCAGGGTTTGGGGTCCGGTGCGGTAAGTATCTGTCCATCCTGAGTRCTCCATGATGAYCCGATTGGAAAACTAAGCTGGCCAAAATTGAAATCCTTTGTAGGTCCATTTTGTGCRAAGCTAGGAGGAGCYCCATCAATAAGGTTCTTCACCCAAGAGGAGTGTTCCTCCTCCAAATTTGAGGTCTCAGGGAACAYATTTTGACTATCAAGGCCTGGAGGGGGCCTTARAGACGAGGTCTTGTTCAGTAAGCTATCATTAGGACCTGTTGACTGCCACGGCGAGGACCCTATKCCAAATGTGTACTGGCCACTGAGTTCAGCACCCTCGTTAAATGACCCTCTCTGCTTGGAYGGGCTTGACGGGGATGGAGACTTATCCGATGYTTTGTCTTCWTCTCTTGGTGAAATCTTTTCATCTTCGTTTCGAGGACGCCATGGAACTCCGGGTTTGAACTCTGGTGGATCAGCAGAGAGTCTTGGCGAAGCATCAACACCCCATCGACTGGACACYGACTCTGACATTCTGCTKGGCTTGGGTGAAGTATTAGCCGAAGTATTCCACTCCTTAGASGCTTCAGTACTAGTAGGTGGTTGATCAGGGTTGGGCAGTAATGGCTGCTTCCACTGCGTCAGRCGAGACTGAGGAGCTGGCGAAGCTTGYTTGGTTCGTTCATCAACAGGTAGACTGACTGGTACATCTTTAGCTTGAGAYGGCTCAGGGGCACTCTCCGAAGTTACTGCTTGCGCTTCACTACTTGGTTTGTCTACAGGTTTACTATTCTTATGTTGCTGTGGGTTCCCTGTGGTGTTTGCATGCGATGCCTGTGTAGGTACGTTGTTATGAGGAAAGCCAGGGGTAGGAAACCTATTCGCCTGTGCCGGTTGTTGCTGTTGCATTAATTGCTGCTGCATCTGTGCAAGCATGAGTGCAATTTGCTGCTGTTGCTGGTAAAGTTGCTGCTGTGCCTGGACACTGATGGTATGCTTTTGATTAAGCTGTTGCTGTGCCAGGCCTTGCTGGACAATCCTTAATTGAGCTATTTGTTGAAATAACGCAAACTGCTGCGGTGTTAACTGCGACTGCAGCAGCCCGCCCATGCGCATTAAATGATATTGCTGCATTAACTGTTGCTGGAGCAATGGATGGGACATGGGTGTACGTAAAGGGGTGGGAACCCCTGGTGTGGGCGGCTGCATAAGTCCTGTAGCACCCCGTTTAGCATTAGTTCCTTGGAGCCCAGCAGCCCCTACTGGTTTAGGAGCCTGTGGGTTAGGTTGATCAGCAGTCGGTGATACTTTCGGCTTGTCTACAGGTTGCTGAGGTGCGTTGGGTTTAACTGATGGTTTAACGGCCTTGTTGACTGGTGCTTTAGTATTTGTCTCAATGTTTAGTGTTTGAGGTACTGTTGACGTTGTTGTTGTCGAGGTTGCTGACTGTTTGCTTGCTTCTGTTGATACCTGACTCTCTTCGCTAGTAGGAAGACTATTCTGTTGTAGCTGTTGCTGCTGTTGTTGCTGTATTTTACGTCTTTGTTTGCGATTCTGCTTTAGTTGTGGCTGTTGTTGAAAGGAATTGCTGTCTGTTGAGGCTTCCTGGTCTTTGGATGTGCTTGTGGTAGAGGCGTTCGAGGTGGTAGAATCCGTTGAACCGGCCGTCATTGACAACAAGTCACCTAAACATTCAAACAACAAGTATTAATGTATACTGGTGGGAACTAGCGGTTCCAAAACATGGCGGTTGAATGCTATACAGGAAAGTATGATGATAATTGAAGAAAGAAACAACTTTAATAGTCATTTTCATCCGTCTGTGAAACAATTACTACTAGTCAGGGTTTTAATAGTAACTATTAGGGTGTAGCAGGCTATCAAAAGGCAAAATTAAAACGTTTGCCTAATTAGTTTGTCGCATGTCGTAACTATTGGGAGCTACAYGTAATAGGGGGTAATAGTATCTAATGGTACAATTCCTATTTCACAGAGGGATGAAAATGACTCTAGTCTTAAAATTTCATTGTGTTGTGTCTTTTTTGGTCTTCCTTTGTCTTTTGTCCTTTCTCGACCCATTCTCTCAGTGTTCACACAGGGAACCCAAAGGCAGAGAATCAAAATGATATCTCCACAGSAGGGTAGTTGAATTAATTGATAATCTCCTCACCTATTGCACTCTCAATGTTCATATGGTTCGCCCTTAGAGCTTTGTCAGCATCTTCTTGCTACCATCACGTTAAAAAAAGATGTAAAATTACAATTATAACAAATATAATAATCAAAGGAAGGGGTACATCCCTAAATTATGGGAAACAATCTAATACTCCAGTTTCAAGATCTTATTTGTGCAGCCTTAACCTCGAAAGCATGTAATATATTATTTTATCAGCAGATATCCTATTGTAATGCAAACACTCTGTGTACAAAGAAGACAATAAAAATTTATCCTTGATTGAAGCTAAGCTTGCACAAAAGAGAATTTGAAACTGGAGTATTATGACGGTTCGCCGTCTTCAAATTATAAACACGGTCAGCAACATGCGTAAGTGTATAACTCAAAAAGTTTTATAAAACACAATTATAGATGAATGTTTTCACCTTGAAGCCCATGTCTAGTAGTTGTTTCAAAGACCTGCTCATCCAGGCATTGGAATCGGTGCTATTGGTTGGTGGTGGTGCAGGTTTAGGTGCCTGGATAATACAATAACCTTAGATATTCGGCCAACAACAACAACAATAACAACAGCGACAACAATAGCAATAACAACAGCAGCAGCTACAACAGCAAATAACAATAACAACAGCCACAACAACAACAACAACAGCAATGAAAACAACAGTAACAACAATACGGGAAAAGAAAACCATCAATATCAATAACAACATTACATGTACAACAACATGACATCAACATCATTGACAACAGTAACCATAGTAACATTAACAATAAGAACATCACAAGCTTGACAGCRACATCAACAGCATTCAYAACAGCAATAATAATATGGYTRACGATGATGAYATAACATCATTTTTGGTTTGATATAATTTTACCCTATTTCTTTTAGAGGCGGTAGTCCAGCCATCCCATGAGCCTTCACTTGCTTCCTCCTTGTCTGCTGTACTAGCGYTACTAGATGTTGCAGCATTCTCAAGCCATCCTTTACTTTGAGCTACATCCCTACTTTCCGTAACTTTTCTCGCATTTAAAGCATTGTCCCAACATGCAGTTCCAGCTATATCAGGTGCCTTACCCCACGACACTGCACTCTCCCCCCATCCAGTAGACTCTGTCCTAGCTTTAAGTTTATCTGTAGATTCTGAAGACGTTTTTCCACTTGAAGAAGGTTGAAAATTACTAGAGTTTGTATCYGTGTCCCATGTTGCAGATTTTTCTGCCTTTTTTGAATGTTCAACCCAAGCAGAACTAGTGTCTGCGGGTGTTCCACCCCAGGTGCTAGTGTTAGTAACATTAGGTTTTTTGTTTTCCAGTTCATTTGTTGGTTTAATTTTTGGTCCTTTTCCAGGAGTTTTGCTCCATGACGAATCTAAGCCAGCTGTAGTACTATTACCAGTCCACCCCTGCTTGCCGTTACTGGGTGTGTCACTCTTAGAACTCACAGCGGCAGCAGGATCCCAGCTAAGAGGCGTGCCTATTAAACCTCCCAGCCCACCTGTACCCATACCACCCCATCCTACACCCCCTGCTGCCCCGGCCACGCCCTGTTTTGAGTCCGCAGCATCGAGAGCACGATCTATCGAATCATCACAAGCAGAGTCCCATGTATCCAATCCTGTACTTGAAGAAGGTGCATTCCAGTTCTTAGTTTGTTGAGAGTTGACAGTATTACTAGAGAACACATTTCTAGACTTTGAGTCTGTTTGTAAAAGTGCATTAGAGTTCGCTGACGTTGGTTTTGATATTGTGATGTTGGATGTATTAGTAGTTGTTGTATCATTTGTAGTTTTACTGCCTACCGCAGGCCATGTATTGCTATCAGTTCTATCAACAACATTCTGCCACGTTGTTCCTTCCTTTCCTCCCCAGTCCCTATCAACTGCTCCCCATTTGTCAGTTTCTTGTTCCCAGTCTTCTGTGGAGCCTACCCAGCCACTGCCCTTAGCTTGACCCTTAGGCCATGACAGGTCATCGACTTCATTGATAAGACCCGCATACTCCTTTGACGCAAACCGATTGGGATCTTTCTTTTTKCCAACTACAAGCAAAGCAAAAACAGYRGAGTTATTCCTGGRGTTCGCACATTGWGAAATGGGATGAAATATGAATGGATAGAATAACGACTGAAAGGTGGAATAATGGGAAGATGAGTTGATGGTAAAAAGACTGGGAATGATGAGGAGGGATAGAGAATTAGTTTTTATTAAATGACATCAAAAATATACATTAAGTCAACACTGAGTCTGACACATAAGAACAAATACAGCAAAAACCTGYGTATAAGAACACCTATTTTGGTGGTTCAAGCTGATTTGGTTCTTATATAAAGGGTTATAATCTTCAAAATCAGTCTCTAA